AGCTGTGGACTTCCCCAGCACTTCCTCACTTGAGAAGTGAGGGAGGTGACCTGACTTAACTCCCTCCATGTGCCCAGTGCTGCAGAGGAGCAGCTTTGCAGCACACACTGACCTGAAGATTGTGACTTTTAATGTTCCTGGTGTTGTGTCAATCTGTTCATGCCTCCTGCTGCCCAAGAGCGATTCCTCTGCAGTGCCAGCCCTTGCCTGCTGTCCCTACCGTGCTCAGCTTCTCCTCTGCCCACCCCCAGCATCCCCAAATCTTTCTTGTCTTCCCCTGTTACTCTCCAGCTGCCCACAGTGGCGTTTTTAATCTATTCTTGTGCCTTTCTAGAGTGATGTGGGCAGAGAGCAGCAAAACCCAGAGAATGCAAGCCCCAGCCGGTGTGTGGCTGCTCCCTGAGCGTGCCCGCAGTGCAGGGCTGCCCTGCTCCCTTGTGGCACTTCTGGGAAGGGCTGGGCAGGACAGGAAACACATCCAGGCTTTGTTTCCTCAGGGCCTGGGTTTCCATCTGTCTGTCTGTCTGTCTCTTGCAGGGAGGCCCCGGGCACTTGTACTTGTTAAAGAACAAAGTCGCCACTTTTGCCAAAGTGGAGAAGGAGGAAGATCTGATCCTGTGAGTGGCTGTGATGTGTTCTGGGCTTGCTCAGGGGTTTCTGCTGGGTTTGCTCATCATTTGCAGCACGTGGTGGAGCAGAAGTGAAGGGAGCTGGGGTGGATTGGTCAGGGGATGAGGAGGCACTGAATAGCAGCTCACAGCTCATTCAGGGGCAGCAGCAAAGGTGGCAGAGCTGAGCTTGTCCCTGGAGTGCTGCAGCCCTGACACCAGGGGATTTATTCTTCTGTCTGTTTAGTGTCTCTGTGGATAGAGACTGTCAAAAGAGAAGGGGAATAAAAGTATTTATTCTACTAAAAACAGCTTTGCTGGCCAGAAATGAGAACATGAACCTCAAGTCTCTGGGTAAGCTGGTGACTATGGCAGAAATCCAGAGTGTTCCCCCACAGCAGACTCTGGCCAGGGGGAAATGGAATTTGTCTCTGCAAAGCCTGCTCAAAGTCCAGCCTGTTACTGAGGAGGCTTTTCACTAACATGCCAGCCTTCAGCTGGGAGTGCTGAGCAATTTTGCTGCTCCTTGCAGAGAGTAAAGCTTTGCCTGTTTTGCTGCCTACTCGCTTGTGCTGGCTCAAACTTGCTTGGCTAACAGTGCCTGGCTGTGGGGGAGAGGATGTACACCAACCTGTTCCTACACAACTTTTTGTTGGCATGAGAACTGAGTATTAAAACCAACATATGCTCAGCAGTCTCATGCCCTGGCACAAACACTGGCTGTGGAATTCTCCAGCACGTGTGCACATCCACGATTCTGAGCACATCCCAGGCATAGCTGCTCCCGAGCTGATAAATCAGGGATCTGCAGAAAGCTGTTAACACACAGCTGAAAGTTTGGGAGCTTGGAAGTGAACATCTCCACCTGGCTTGTGTGTTCCTGGGAGGCAGTGCTGAGGAAAGCTGAGGCTGCAGTCTGGTTGGAACACCCATGGAGGAATTTTTGGGCTTTAGAGCCCCCCAGAAGTCTGCTCCAACCCTCTGCCCAGGGGAGGGGGTCATGCTTCACATCCCTCCTGGTCACAGTCACTGCACATCAAGTGGGGATGACTGTGAGCAGCACCAAGCACAGGCTGACATGGAGCTGCCTGGGCTGTGTTGTCTCACTCAGAACAATCTCTCCAGCTGTTCCCTGCTGATTTCATGCCCTGGAAATGAACCAGGGCACTGATAACCCCTGTGTTCAGAAAGGGCAGCTGTTGATAGAAATGGGAGAAAGGAAGCTGGAGGGGGTGCTTGGTAAAACTGTCACTCCAGAAGCACTCTTGGGGGTCTTTGCTCCCTTCTCCTCACCTTGGAGCTCCCTTGGCTCCATGGGCTGCTCCTCTTTCTCTGCCACATGACTTGGACCTGCTCCTGAGGCCCTGGCTCTGCCCCTGTTCTTCCTTGTCTGAGCTCCAATGGCTCTTCCTGAGCAGTTTCCTGCCCAGGCTACAGACCTTGGGCCCTGTCTGAGTGCTGTGTGCACACACCCTTGGCATTAATCATGCCTATGAGGAGAGATTAATTTTTTTTTTTTTAATGATGTGTTCTGTTTTTTTCCAGCTTCTGGAAGAGGTTGAGCCGGCTGATGAGTAAAGTCAATCCTGAACCAAATATCATTCACATCATGGGCTGCTATGTTCTTGGAAACCCCAATGGGGAGAAGGTAGGAGCTTGTGGGTCACCCCTGGAATGTCTGCTGGGCCCACGGAGGCCAGAATCACACTGGGAGCTCTAAACCTGCCTCATCTGCTGGGTGGGAATGTGCTGCTGTCCTGTCCCGTGGGAGAACCTCCCTCTGGATTGTGGGGCAGGGGAGGAAGGATTAGTGATGTGCAGGACAAACATCTGCAATCTGGGAGGAGAAGAGTTGTTCAAAGCACTTGGTGTGATAGATGTTTTAAAGGACATGGGTGGAAGGTGTTCCAGAACAAAGATGGGCAATTCTGGCTGCTCAGGAGTCATAAATGTTTTCAGCTGTTAACTCTGATGTGTTTCCCTTTCAGCTATTTCAGAATCTGAAAAACTTAATGAATCCTTATAGGGTTGCCTTTGAGTCTCCACTTGAACTATCAGCTCAAGGTAATTTATTTCCTGTACAAAGACACACACACACACCCCTTGCTAACCAGTCTGTCTCCTTTGGAGGACATCTTCCTGAAAATGCAATTTTGATTCCCTTAAGTCCTGCCTTGGTCTTTGTTTTGCTTACCTTGTGTAGTTCAGCAGCTGCCCCTGGCTTCCCCTTGCAGTTCCTGCGTATGTTCATATTTCAAATTCCCTGTTTGTTGTGCCTGAGGCTGCAGAGGCCTCTCCCAGGATCCTGGCAATGCAAAAGAGACAGATTTCTGGGCTGAGTGTAGGAGAATCCATTATTATTAGGGCATGAGGAGTCTGTGGGGGAAATACACATGGAGCTACTTTTCTGTAGCCAGGTGTGCTGGGGTCTCTTCTCCAGAGCTCAAACCACTGGCACCAAGTGAATTGTGTCAATAAACAACTGGGATTGTTTATTGGAGAGCCAATATTGATATTGTTATATCAGAGCCAGCTCAATCTGCTGGCCCTTTTCCCTTTTTTATTTTTTTTTCCTGTAGTTCATGATATTTCAAGAAGCTACAGGATTTTTCCTGTTCACTGGTCAACGTCAGTAATTCACAGTGCAGTTTCACAAGCGATAGATTCTGAATTTGCCCGTGTTCTTTTATCTTTGCTGTAGTTCTTGGCAGATAAAACCATGCAGGTTTCAGCTGCAGGCACTTCTCTGCTGCTCACAGCTCTGGTCTCAGCGCTGCTGGGTTTTTTTTTACTTCCCTTCACCCTCAGGAAAGTGCAGGAGTTGAGCACATTGGTGCTCAGCTGTTCAGGGGTCACAGAATCACAGAGTTCACAGAATCAGTCACAGACTGGTTTGGGTTGGAAAGGACTTTAGGATCACCCAGTTCCAGCCTGTCCATGGGCAGGGACACCTCCCTCCAGCCCAGGCTGTTCAGTTCTCTGTGCATGATCAGTTCAGCTGCACACGGTGCCTGCACAGAATCACAGAGCAAACACACTCAGATGTGTCCAGGAGCAGCTTGCAGGGAAATTCCTGGGTTTGTGGGCAGCTCAGCAGGCCAGGCAGTGGCTTCTGTGTGCAGGCATTAAAGCAGCTGAGCTTTCTGGAGGCTGGGCTGAGGAATACGTCTGAATTTATCCCCTTGATCAGTCTGGGACGTGCTAAGAGTGTACCCTTGTAATCCTTTGCAAAGTCATCTAAAACTAATCTTAATCAGGCCTCACAAGTGAAAATCCCCTCCTTGAGCCCTGAGTGCAGGTTTGTTTGCCCTTGTGTTTTCAAATGCACCTCCTGCCTGCCTGTGAGAGCCCCTTCAGTCAGAGGGGCTGGGGGGCAGAGCTGGCACTGCTCTGTGCTGTGAGCTCATTGCTGGGAGCACAGGACAGGGATGGGCTGGTCATTTTAAAAAAACATGTATTTTCAGGTTTGAATCCTCAGTGTTAATTCTTTTTAGTGTTTCTTTACAAGGAGTTAACTCTTGGTTTACAGCTTCTGAAGTCCCTGTGGCTCATGCAGGCTGTGGCTGAGCCTCTCCAGCCCCCAGCTCCCCCCAGCACTCAGAGCAGAGAGGTCAAAGTCTGGAGACAGACTTTGTGCTCAGTTCCTGCCCCCAGGGACAAACCCTGCCAAGGGATTACAGGGAGCTGTTCATGGTTGAGGAGATCTGAAAAGATGTTTGGTTCTCACGGGCCCCTCCACGTGCCCAGTGTCAGCTGGATGGGTCACCATGAATGAATGTCACCATGGATGGGTCCCTGCGCCCTGCCCACGCTGGCCTGGGGGTTTGTGCTGTGTTCTATCACCTCCCCTTCGTGCTCCTTTCAGGGTGTGACCCCTCTGCCTCTTTCACTTCTAGGTAAGCAAATGATTGAGACTTACTTTGACTTCCGCCTTTACCGCCTCTGGAAGACCCGCCAGCACTCCAAACTATTGGATTATGATGACATTTTATGAGCTGGAGAAGACTTTGCAAGAGGAAGCTCATCACCAGTGTCCAAGAAGTCATGCTTTATTGCAGAGAGACTTTTTTATTGGCACAGGGAGCCCTTCACAGCCCTACGGGAGGCAGCAGTGCTAAAGGGAGGGAAGGAGGAGCCCTCGGAAGTGACGGGAGGAAAAGTCTCCTGGGCCAAGAGAGACTGGAGGGAAGGGGGTGACAGTGACACCTCGCTGGCCTCAGTCCGAGCCGTGGGGCCTCGGGAGGAGCTGTGTGAAACGAGCACAGGATGGAGTTCCTGGCAGAACTGAGCTGTTTTGGGTCAGAATGGGCCAGATTTGATTCCAGGTCCTTTTAAAGACTTTTGAAGCTCAGGTTTTCTTACAAAAAAACCCCACACAAACCCATTTAACCCATGCACTACAGTGAAGAAGTCACCAGAGCACAGAGGGAGCAGGGGGTTGTCCTGGTGGGACTTTCTGTGCTGGGAGTCCTGGAGAGCAAGGACTGCTACACCTACTCCTGCAAGCTTAGAGCAAGATGATCCCGTTTCCATGTGAATATATACTGGGATATAGAATTGAAATCTTCTTTTTTTGTTTGTTTAATAGAAAATAAGTGCAATTTTTATAGCGAGGGAGGGGGTAAAATCCCTCCCGATATTTAATTAGTTAAAAATAACACACCATAACCAATAGATGAGATATTTTTGGTCTGCTTGAAAATATATTCAGAATGGTAATATATCTTCTGTAGACATATTTAATCACCAGCAAACATGGTTTTAACATAAGTTAGCAGACCTTGCATGTCTGCTGCATTGGTTTGGTTCCTTTCAGAGTAGCTGTGCTGCACTACCTGTATGTGCTCTCACGAATGTATAGTTCTCCTAGAGTTAGCCACAACTTCATTACTTTATATTTTGCTGCTTGCAAAACTATGGAACTTTAGTTTTGCTGAAATATTTTAGGTTAGAAACACGGGACCTGGCTGGGAAGCCTCCGTCAGGTTCGTTTTGGTATAAAAATGAATTAGAAATTAATAGCCATGGTAATTAATTGTTCATGCCAGTGTTTTGCTGTGTGTTGGGAGAGGAGCTCTCTTCCTGCGTGGAGACCCCTCTGAGGGGGCTGAGCACTGAGGCATTTGGGAGAAATGCTTCTGGAGGGACACAGCTCAGACTTGGAGCATGAGTTTGACTCTTCTCTGTTCACTTGATTGCCAGTTTGTTTGTGCATAACCCACCCCTTTTTTCCATGACCTGTTTCTTGGTCTGAGCTGCTCAGCCCCTTCCCTTGTAGGACAGAGAAAACCCCGAGCTCTGTCAGAGCAGCCTGAGAGCCCAGGTCTGTACTTGATACTTGATGGTATCTTTTGGAATCTATTTATTTTTGTTTGGTTAGGTAAGGGGGTGCTTTTTCTGTTTTGGGAATGGGGCTTTTTTCACATTCTGCTGTCCTTTCAGAGGACAAATAGTACTTAGAGTCTGTGTAGGTCACTGGCAATTCTGGGAGGTGACACAAGTTATTTCTTCTACAAGCAAAGGAAGTAACAGGGAAGGATTACCTTAATTTCCTGATTTTCTGGTATCTCAAATTTGTTGATTGTGAAGTGAAGGAAAATACATGTACAAATCTTTTAACTACTTACAAAGAGAACTTGGTGTTCTGATCTGTAGAGTCCTCCTTTCCCTGTGCCATACCTGTGGTTGTGATTTTGGGGAGCAGGCTCCTGCCTAGAACTGCTGAACCCTTTACATTTAGAGCAGTTTTATAGCAAAACTTTGGAAGAAATAATGTACATACATTAAAGAAAGGAATAGAATAGGTGGAGAGAGGTAGTTTGAAGTCACTGAAAGCCACACAAGACAGGTGTGGGCTGTTGTCTCCCCCAGGCTGGGAGCTTTGGTAGCCACGTCTCATCCCTGGACTCAGGTTTGCCAGATGTGACGGGGAGAACAGGCACCAGTCTGTAGCTTTTGGAAGAAAATGCTAGAAGGAAATGATAGAAAAGAAAAAGATCCCCAAATTTATGCCAATTACTGTTTAACACTGGAGCTTCCACCAGCTCTGTGGTGAGAGGTGGGAGCCAGAGGTGCAGTGAAAGCACAAAGTCATGTTATCTGGAGAAGGAAATGGTTGTGGGAGGATTAAAATGCTGACACAAAACTCTCTCCCTTTCTGACCCTTTCACCTCCTAACTGGAGACAGGCAAACAGTTCTCCCTTTCTCAAATCCCAATTCAGTGAACTTGGTAGCATGAATGTAGCATTGTGGAACTATTGCAAATCTTATTTAACCCCCAAAGGGCCCATTTATGTATCCACTTGAGTGATTTCTCTGTAAAACTATTGTATATCCTCACTGACCACTTGTACTTGGGGTGCAAAGTAGAAGGTAGATTGTACAGTAATTTCTGTGTGGAAATGAACACTATGGACTGTTCTGGTGCAGTTTATGGGATATGACAACTGATGAATGCATTTCCCTCCAAAGATCTATATTCCTCATAGCTTGTGATGTTTATGACATGAACATATTTTTTCCTTTGTAGCATTCATTTGCCTGAAGAGATGAAATTCTCTCAGAGCTGTGACTGGAATAGAGTTGTGATGTTTCATGTCCTGTGTGAGGCAGCATCCTTGGACTTAACCACTGGTGACAGAGGAAAACGCTTTTATTCCCCTTTTTCACTGGTGGACTTTTTCAGGTGGCTGCTGGGAAAGGAAAGGGGTCAGCAGAGGCAAATAAAAATTGCAATTATTTAAACTTTAGAAGTAAAAATACGGCCTGGAACTTCCTCAGTCAGACCAGCCTGTAAAGGATGAGCCCAGCATGGTCCCAGCCAGGACAGCTCCAAGGCCCAGCATGTTCCTCACCCCCTGTGCCCCCTGCAGCATCCTCCAGAGGTTCTGGGGCTGCCTGCAGTGCCCTGGGGCACACAGGACAATCTGTAATTCCACTCCTGCCTGTTCCCTCAGCTCTCACCACCCTGCTCTCGGGGTGTGTCTGAAACCAGTTCTCTCCTGTGCCCGCGGCAGTTCCGTGTGCCTGGGCTGGGTGAGGGGTGAGCAGCTCCTGTCCCAGGGAACTGCTGCTCTGGAAATGCCTTCAGCAGGGGCAGGAGAGTGGGGACCCCTGCTTCACTTGGAGAGAAGCAGATTAAACCAAATTAATTTTGAATTGCTGTTCAGCAGGGTTTGTGCTTCCCTTGCTGGAGGCAGTGTTGGATGTGACCCCCAGCCCTGGCCTGGGTAAATGTGTTATCACAGCTGTTAAATGTGATAATTGTGTTATGGCCCGGGCTGGCAGTGTCACTCCAGGAGGGGACGGTGGCAGGAAGGGCCTCAGCTGTCGCAGCCCTGCTCCTCAGCCTGGCTCTGTGCTGGGAGTGGCCCCAGGTGTTCTCTGGTGCCTGCAGGGAATGTTCACTCAGCTGGAGAGGCCTGGGGGATCACAGGCTCTGTGGATGTGGCACTTCCAGAGAGGCTTTTTTCTTTTCCTCTTCTTTGGCTGGGAAGGAAAGGGAGGAAGAAAATTCAAGTTACCCATGGGATGTAGAAATAGGTAAAAACAAAGCTTTTTGCACCTCTGCTCATGCTGCAGCCACCAGCTTCCCCTTGCAGCTGACCTCCAGACCTGGGGTGGGAAACACAAATTCCCAGATAATCCCTTCCTGTGTTAAAAAAACAAAAGCAGAAAAATCCTCGTAGCTCCCAGCAAAACATCTGAGTGTAAAAGGCACCCAGCCAGCTCATCCTGCCCGTGTGAGGACTCTGCTGTGGGATCCCAACCTGCTCCCACCTCTGAAGCCACCAGAGCCTGTGGAGGGGCTCAGCCTCCGTGCAGGAAACTCCAGGAAGGAATTCATTCATTCCTCAGCCTGGGCTTGCTGCCTGGAGCTCAGCACAGGGTTCCTGTTTGCAGTGGTGTGTCCATGTGCTCCCGTGTCCTCAGCCCAGGCTCTGTCCCTGCTCTGTGTGCAGGGAATTGTGAGCAGAGCTCGGGATCCTGGCACGGATCCGCTCCTGCAGCTCCTGCCTTGCTGACCTGTGCCTGGCAGTTCCTGTTCCCAGGCTCTGCTGGCAGCGCTCAGCACCCTCAGCAGCACAAGTGGGGTTGGCTACAAGAATGGAAAACGCTGGTTACAAACAGCCAGCCTGGCAGGATCTGGGAACAGGAGCGTGTCCTTAGTCCTGGCCCCATTCTTCATCCTGCTGGAGGTGGAATGCCAGGCTCGCTCTGCTCTCTCAGTCTGACAGTAAATGTTCAGCCTCTCACAAGCTGGTTTGAGTCACACTTGGATATTATTAATGTCTTAGTCCAGGGTAAGATGCTGTATGAGTGAGAAAATCCTTGCAGGGCCCTTGCAGTTGGCAGCTGCTCTCAGAACCCTCCACCAGGGATGTGCTGGGCCGTGTCCTCCTTCTCGGGGAACCGTGTCCTGCTGCCAGGTGGGCTCAGGAAAAGCTCAGCTCAAGCTGAGTTGCTCTGTGCTCTGGGTTTTGCTGTGCCAGTCCCTGGAGCTCGGGCCAGCCCTTCCTGAGGATCCCAGTGTCCTCCCAAGGGCTATTGAGGGGTGATACCATTTTCCACATCATCTGTAAAGACTTTGTGATCTGTATTTTGTCCCACTGACTACAGCCTATCCCTGGCTTTCTGCATCTTCCACAGACGTGTTTTTTAATTCTCATTCTGGAAACACAAGCCAAAGTCAACTGGAAACTGTTACTGGCAAGTCAGCCTGGTTCTGACTCCCCTGTGGGAGCTGAGGGAGTAAATGGGTGGTTTGAGAGCCGTGACCCTGATTTGGATCATTGTTATTCCCAGCTGATCCTGCTGTGTCATCGGCACAGGTAATGGGAAATAACCTCTTGCTGGGGCAATGATCTATCAAAAAGCACCAGGAACCAGCAGCAGCTTTGGTTCAGAAATAACTCCAGCCCAATTTACTGCCAGTCAGTGTGAGAAATGTAAAGACTGAAAGGAATAAACATTGTGGACATTAAATGTAAAGAATCCGTCTGAAGAGAAACTACATTGCTTTTTTCCATAAATGTTTAGTAAATATTAAAGAACTAATGCAACCTAATAATTTTCACAGTATTGTGTTGCTTTTAGAGTATCCATAAAAATAACAGGTAAGGACAGGTAAGACCCATCACAGGTTATTGCCCTGTATTCCGAGAATGGGGATAATTACTCAGCATTCCATTCTTCCTTATCTCAGCATCCCAGTGGCCTGGTGATAATCACAGCAGCAGTGCCCTAGAAACCTTTAGCAGGAGGAGCCTTTCCACCTGCACTGCTGAGCTGAGAGAGACCCCCAAACACCTGATGGAGCCAAATGCTGCTCCTGTGTCCCCAGGGGCTGCTCCTGTGTCCCCAGGTGTCCTGGGGTGGCCCCTGCTGTGCTTTTTCCTGTCTCTACAGCCACCCACACTGGGGTACAGCCCCTGCCCTGCTCCCCACTGCTCCCAGGGCCTGCAGGGATGTGCTGGGTTGTACCTGGGGGATGCTTCTCCCCTGGGTGATG